TTGCAAGTGTTAATGTCTTTATCGATTATATGGCCAAATGTTTGAGAATAAAGACTCATCCTAAGGAAGGAGGAGCAGAAAGAGAGAGAAAGAACGTGGGGACTCTTTTTATTCCATTTGTCTTCAGACCCATTCTCTGCTCTTCTCTGCTCTGCTCTGTGTCAGAGAAAGCTGGTACCATTTGCTTGTTGAATTCCAGCTAGAATACAAGGCATCAGAAGGAGATCAGAAAAAGAGCCAACAGGATATTTACCCCCTGCTTTCTCCTTCCTTCATCCACATTTGGGGAGTAGATACAGTAGATACACCCCTACAGCATGTGCAAGGCAGCTCCATGCACATATCCTTCAACTTTAATGACAATTTTTCCTTCATTTGTACTCCCGGGTCAAAGGGGGACATGTGTCCCCCTGTGCTAACCTCTGGGAGACTCATCATCCCTTTTTTATTCCCACACTCCTACTCAAAAGGGTTGGTATGCCTTCATTAGGATCACTTCATCTAAACCATTCTGGATGATTTCTCTTCCTTTTCAGTACTCTCCCATTTACCTAAATGATTCCTCATGGTATTAGTGAGCCACCACATGGCTGGACTGCTTGTTGCATGAGAAACAGAGTCCATCTGTGTTTAAATCACTATTCGGATTTCCTCTTGCTGATATCAAATTTATTCCCATCATCCTTCAAGTTTTATATTAAATGCAATTTTCTCTGGAAATAATTTAATACTTNTCTTCTCTGCTCTGCTCTGTGTCAGAGAAAGCTGGTACCATTTGCTTGTTGAATTCCAGCTGGAATACAAGGCAATACAAGGCATCAGAAGGAGATCAAAAAAAGAGCCAACAGGATATTTACCCCCTGCTTTCTCCTTGCTTCATCCACATTTTGGGAGTAGATACAGTAGATACACCCCTACAGCATGTGCAAGGCAGCTCCATGCACATATCCTTCAACTATAATGACGATTTTTCCTTCATTTGTCCTTCCAGTTTAAGGGGGACATGTGTCCCCCTGTGCTAACCCTCTGGGAGACTCACCATCCCTTTTTTATTCCCACACTCCTACTCAAAAGGGTTGGTATGCCTTCATTAGGATCACTTCATCTAAACCATTCAGGATGATTTCTCTTCCCTTTCAGTACTGTCCTATTTACCTAAATGATTCCTCATGGTATTAGTGAGCCACCACATGGCTGGACTGCTTGTTGCATGAGAAACAGAGTCCATCTGTGTTTAAATCACTATTGTTCGGATTTCCTCTTGCTGATATCAAATTTCTTCCCATCATCCTTCAAGTTTTATATTAAATGCAATTTTCTCTGGAAATAATTTAATACTTCTCAGTGCTATTGGTTTTCTACATTGCTTGTAACTCTCCCATTAAAATATTTGTCACACTCACTCTTTTTTTT